TTTTTTTTTTTAATACTATTTTATTGTGTTTTTGGTGAAAATTTACCCAGCAAATTAGGTTCCCTTTTAACAATGCCTATAAAAATTGTGACATCTTTGCTTTTCAATAAAGATGTCACAATTGCGGACTAAGGTGCGCCTGACCCAAGCCATGGTATTTTCAATCCCCTCATATGCATGCAAAAGCTGGACAATGAATAAGGGATCGAAGAAGAATTGATGCCTTTGAATTATGGTGTTGGCTAAGAATATTGAATGTACCATGGGCTGCCAGAATGAACAAATCTGTCTTGGAAGAAGTACAGCCAGAAGGCTCCTTAGAAGCAAGGATGGCGAGACTTTGCCTTACGTACTTTGGACACGGTATCAGGAGGGACCAATCCCTGGAGAAGGACATCGCGCTTGGTAAAGTAAAGGGTCAGTGAAAAAGAGGAAGACCCTCAACGAGATGGACCGTCACAGCGGCTGCAACAATGGGCTCAAAAACAGCAACAGTTGTGAGGATGGCGCAGGACTGGGCAGTGTTTTGTTGTGTTGTACACGGGGTCGCTATGAGTCGGAACTGACGCAATGGCACTTAACCATAACAACATACAAATTGTTCTGTGACATTGGTTACATTTTCCACAATGTTCACATTCTCATTATTTCCATCCTGGCTGTTCCCTTTCCAATAATCTTTTTTCCCTGCCCCGCCTCACCCTCTTACCTTCTCCTCTTTGCTTTGAGTAAATGTTGACCCTTTGGTCTCATATAGATGATTTTTTAAAGGAACCACAGTACTCATGGGTGATATTGTTTGTTTTATGAGCCAATCTGTTATTTAGTTGAAATGTGACCTCCGGGAGGAGTTTCGGTTCAAGATTTAAAGAGTTATCTCAGGTCAATAGTCACGGGGAGTCCCCCAGTCTCAACCGGTCCAGTAAGTACGGACTTTTTCAGAATTTGAGTTCTATTCCACATGTTTTTCCTTTTCTATCAGGATCCATCGATTGTGGTTCTTGTTAGAACAGTAGTGGTGGCCGGGTACCATCTAGTTCTTCTGGTCTCAGGATAGATGAGGCCATGGTTCGTGTAGACTAGTTTCTTCTCTGAGTCTTTGGTTTCCTTCTTTCTCTTTTCTTCCAGACAAGTAGAGACCAATAGTTGCATCTGGCACCCTAAAGTTTTTGTGACACTTTTTATAAGAACAGAAATTGATTCTTTCATGGTTCTGGAGGCTGTAAGTCCAAATCGAGTGTTGGGCAGGCCGTGATCCACCCAAAGGCTCTAGGGGAAGATCCTCTCTAGTCTCTTCCAGCTTCTGGTAGCCGCAGCTGCAGCATAACTCCACGGTCACATGCCATGTGTTCCCTCTGGGTCTCTCTTCTCCTCTTCTCCAAGAACACCATTCAGATGGGATTAGGACTCACCCTACCCCAGCAGGACCTCATGGTAACTAATAACATTTTCAAAGACTCTATTTCCAAACATGGTCACCTGCAGAGGTACCGGGGGTTAGGACTTCAACACATCATTTTGGGGGACACAGT